GTCGTATTCTCTTCAGTTGTGTTCATTATGCGGAACATGAGACATACGGCATTGCTATTATTGACTGCAAAAACAAGACGGTCCCTGCATCTTTGTCTTTTGTCCAAAGGCAAACTTGAACTGAAATGAAGAGATCAGGCTGAGGCAGAGGGGATAAATACAACAGAAAAAAAAGATTGGAGCCCAGAAAGCAGATTTGCAGTTTTGAATTGCAAGTATTGTTTGTGTCTTTATGGTATTATGTGAATGTGATGTGGGGATTATGTTCGCCAAGAGGAAATGTCCTCCCCTTGAGAGTTGCTGTTAGCTGTAACGGCATCTCAGCAGAGGAGTTACATGCAGATATGTGACGCTATACCCACACAGGGTATAGGAATTACACTTATACATGTGCAGACAACTGATACCTCCATACACAAACATGTGTGTCTCACTCCACATGCACACATAAAAATGCACTGATTAAGCATCCCTTGAAATAGACCTCTACTTTTGCTAACATTGCAGATTAAGCGCTATCTTGCTTTGAAAGTCACACTGGCTGTCTGTGACCTATAGCACAGAAGGGCAACAAGATGCAGAAAATAGGTAAAAAAAAAGCACTCCCCCTCTACTGTATCTCTCCCATTGGTTGTTGCTCCTCCTCTTGGTGCCCTTCTGACATAATCTTTTTCACACACTTTCATTCCTCCCTCTCTTTGCCCTTCCGCTGCTATTTTCTATTCCACCTAGTTTGTCCCTCACCTCACCGTTGCCTCTATTATTTCTCACGTCTTCCAGATCTATCTTCTCATTTGTCCATACATTCAGTCAGCCAGTCAGTCTGCTTTGTGTCTGTCTGCCCCCGTAGCCCTCATTCTATCGCTCTCCTTTGGTCTCTCCCTGTCTCCGTCCTCCGCTCTGAGGGGTTGCTGTCCTGCCAGAGCACAGCACACAGTGACCATCGATTCATCAAAGTGTCACAGCGCACTGCCGCAGCTCTGTATGCCCCGCTACTAAACAACTGCCCTGGCAAAGCAAACAATAGCTCCCCCACACACACACACATACGCATGGAGAACCTGGAGTGCTACCCCGGCAAGGTCATACCTCTCCCTGTACACCCATTTGGCAGCGTTCACACCGGAGTTTGTTAGTGCCAAGCTGATGCTGCCATTGGCAGAGAGGGCTAAGCAGCGGACAACATATCTGTTGAACATCCACATATATCAAGCACAGTTAACATTCCAGTACAAGCCAGTGCAAACAGTTCCCATAAACATGCTGAAGGATAAAATACGCTATCTACTAGAACCAGTTGGCAATTTTCATAATTGCTGAACCAGCATATTTCCAATTACCCCATATTCATAATAGTTCACCTGAGCAATTTGACCTTCTACTTTAACGGGGGTCTACCGGGCTAAAACAGCACGGCCAGCAGTCCCTTTATGGGGTCTTTATGGTGTGTCAGTGGGGTCAACTGAAGGATGGGCTCCCCCCTACAGATTTACACTGAGGGGCTGCACAAGGGGTCACCAGCTCCCAAAAGCTAATTTCATAATGCACCCTGGGCGAGGCTTAAATTCAACCGAGCCCAAAGTGAAGGGTTGACTTCTTAACCAAAGGCTCTGGGTTTTCAAAGAACACAGAGAGTAGACTTACAGCACCTCGGTTTACCTCAAACGCACTTCTAAGACTACACGGTGCAGCAAGCACATCTGGCAAAGCAGACCCGCTATTACTGAGTCAACATAAAAATCAAACTTGGTGATGTTGTAAATTGCTTCTTAATGCCCACATAAGTGCAAGTGTCTGCTTTGTGTCCCATTCAATTCTGACCATCTATTTTGCACCATGGATAAAATCTTTTTCGCTGCAGCCAAAACAGCAGGCTCTCTAAAAGCATTGTATTATTCTTTTGTCCCAGATTGTGTGCGTCATTATCGATTTAAGAGTTGGTCACTTAGGCACAGATGCTCACACTTCAAAATAGCATTCGGTCGAGCTCTGGGAGTCTCGGTATACTTATTCTCTGTCATGATTGTTGTGGCTTAATTGTGCCCATAAAACACAGCCTGTTTTCCTGCCTGGCTGATCATATATCAGTATGTAGCATAATTCTGTGGAGGGCTATTGCACTCTAAACACGTTGATATCTCGCATGAGGGATTTGTCCTGTAAACCTGAAGGATCACGTATAATCTTTCCTTTTTGCTATAGCATTTCGAGTCCGTCCTGAATCTTAGTAACAATTTAGCTACTTGAACCTGCCTGGTATTGTGTTGTAATTCATCTCCAGCCCAGACGTTCTAACTCATTGCATATGTACATGATGTTCACATTCCACTCTGACTCCCATCAAGCTCTGACATTAGCTGCTGTATGAGCCATTGATTAGCATTTGTCTGATAGAGGCCCGGTAATGAAGGAGATGATGAGGAGATTATTGACCATGCTGTAGATATGAAAATCAGGTGGGAGAGGTGGATATCGAGGTTTTACCTAGATATTAGTATTGACCTGGAGGTAATTGGGAGGGTGGATGCTAACTTGCAGGGCCTATTTAAAGGCATTGATGAGAAATCAGACGGAGACAGCTTTCACTTTGATCTTCTTTTCTTCTCTCGTGTTACTTGTTAAAGATGAGGACTGAGAGAAGACGCAGGGAAAAGAAACATGAATACACACTATGTTGCTCAGTTATTTTTAGCATTCTATACAGTATATAGGTCATATTTAGTTACTGTTCACATCACATTTTACACTATTTTATTCATGTATTCCCACATTTCTTTTCCAAAGATTTCATTGTCACACTTGCAGATCTCCACAGCAAACAAAGAATTGAACTCACCATGCACCATTATGCAGCTTGCTGAAGTGTTTTTAAGTGGCCAGGGTTCAATTGCACACACATTAGCATCTTTTGGGAGAGATCAAGTGCTTATGTAGTGCTGAAAAGTGACAGCTGAAAGAGGCCCCTGCCTGTTTTTTTTTTGGGGGGGGGGGGGGGGGGGGG